ACAGGACCCAGCTCTCACAGAATACCACCATAAAATGCTGCTGTTTCCTGTGGTGAGTGTAGAGAACCGGAGACGCTTTTACTGGAACAAGGCATTCCATCTCAGTCCTCAGGGGTGACAACGCATCTGCATTTTGAGTCTTAATTGAGGATAAATGTAGATGTCTACGAGCCACAGCATCCACTTACCATCAGGTGGAATGTGTGCTCGTTTGACACCCTTATTCTATAAAAATGCTTATGAATCAGGCTTCTACTTCGTTCACACACGTTTACACACAATTACGTTTTTTTTCCTCCCGATAATAAAGTGAACGTATTAAGTAAACTGAAGTTGAAATGGGCCGCACATATAGCTTGAAAAACGGATAACCAATGGAGAAGAAAAGTACTCGAGTGGCAAACTCGTACGGGTTAGGAAAGTGTAGGGCGGCCCCCACTAGACAGAGGGACGACGACCTGGTAAGAGATGCAGGTAGTCGATAGATGCGATGACTCAGGACTGTGCTTTGTAGAATTCCTAGGGGAGGCCTATGTTCAGCAGTGGATTTGTTATAATGATGATGTTGGTGGTGGTGGTGGTGGTGATGATGATGATGATGGTGATGGTGGCGGCGGTGGTGGTGGTGGTGGTGATGGTGGCGGCGGTGGTGGTGGTGGTGGTGATGGTGGCGGTAATGATGGTGATGATTATAAAGACAGCCGGTACACGCCACACTAGTTGCTAAAGTCTATTCATTTCTAAAAGCTTATTGCGGTGGCGGACTTCACATGACGTCGAAATATTTTTATGAATTTCCTAGATATGCAGGGTTCCTCATTATGTTTTTCACCACCGTGCATTATGGTAAGTCAGCATTCAAAACAAATAACAATATTTTTGGTGTTAGATTGAGGTTCGAAATATGAAATTAAAGACCAGCGCTTTACACCTAAGCTAATAGCAGCTTTATGCTGCTATTTTTTACGTTGGTGTTCTCTCTTTGATAGCGTAATCTTTTTTTACAGTCGATCCTTTCTTTGTACCATGGTGATCTTTCTTTGAGAGCGTAATCATTGTTCTCGGACGAACCGAACCACTCAGTCAAAATACAGCTGTAGTGTGGAACTACCACGTAGAAACAGAAAAATACGTTGTAGCTTTTTTTATTACAGACAACATCCCGGAGCCGCCAGCCGTCCAATGTGCAGAACATGTTCGCGTCACTACGTCTGGTCGAACGGGCGGTTAAAAAGCAGCTCAAGGAGGGACAAATATCCGAGTCTTTGGCTTCCAAATTTAAGTGGGAGAAACTGTTAGTAAGTCATTTACAGTCTTGTGCATATACACAATTGTAATATAATCTCCTCGAGACTAAAGAACAATAGCAGAATTTCATACATAAAATTAGTTGAGAAGGAATCGTAGCGTCTATATATCCAAAATATCTTAAAATGTTAAGCGTCAGCCCCTTAATAATCAAAGAATTTTGTCCTGAGAAGGCGTCAAAAAAAAGATATTTAGATTTGAACCTTTTTAGGTTATGTCTTATGTCACTTGGAAAAAGTCATGCGCCTTGTGGTTGTTTGATGTTAGCTGACAGCTAGCTGTTACATTCTCAACATTATGTACCTACCTACATAATTGAGAGTTTTTGGATTATTGTATCTCTATTATATATTTGCATACTATAAATGTATATTTCTGGCATGGCTCCAGGGCATTTGTGTCATACAGTGACATTGTCAGAAGGGCTAGAACCCAGAGCCGTAAAGCCAGTAAAAAAACAGTGACATTTTGTTTTAGCTAGTGTTGCCATAACATTAAATGGAATTGTTGCATAGTACTATGATTGAGATAAAGTTTTATTGTAGGAAGTTCTTTGTAAGAGACTTATTTTCAACCATATCACTTTTATTTTTATTATTACTGTTAGTATAGTTATTACTAACAATAACATAATATAAAAATGTTTTGTTTTTGTGTGTACTGTTGGTAGTCTTACAAAGTGTATACGAAAATAGTACCAATATAGTAAATGGCAACACTTGAATAGAAGTAAAATGTTTTAAGTCATTTGATATTCCCAAAAATGTTTGTTTTTTCTGTGGCTTTAATTAAAATACATTTTTGTTTGAAAAATCATAGAAAAATAATAACACTCATTTTATATATAACTTATTTCTAGACGCAATAATTTTTGTCAACAATTTTTCTGCCATTGTTCTTTCCGTTTCGGCGGCCAGTCTGAACAGAGACTAACCATCTGCGCTGTCCAAGTATATAGTGCAAGAGTGTATGCGCAAGCTTACGTGCACTCTCTATTAACTCTGTTACCAATTTCTCTATTTCCCTTACTCTCATAGTACAATGGGACGGCACGTCATTTCGACACGCCCGGAGAGAGATCAGGCGCAGGACCAATGACTTTACATGTCTTACTGAAGCACGGGAGTGAAACACTTCCAACTTCCTGAACCCGGGCTGCTGCTGATATTTTCTTGTCAGAAAAATCCAATAATTTATATTGGCCCAACCCGGGATTTGAACCCGGTACCCTATCAACAGTCGCACTTTCAACCGCTAGACAGAGCTAGTTATATAGACACTATTGCAACGGTATCTAACACCGTTGACGAGTCAATTAGTAAACGTAAAATACCGAAATGATGGCTTCGTGGCGCAGTGGCTTAGCAATGAGTTGCGGCGCTGGGGGCCGCGGGTTCGAATCTCGCACGGAACAAGTACTTGTAATGTTTGTCCTTGTGCAATTTGTGTTTGTAAACTGCCTCCACGATACAGGAGAAAATCCTAGTGTGGGGATAACGTTTAAAAAAAAAGAAAAAAAAACAGACGATTAACTGCCATGTGGTGGCGACGTAAGAGAATTTCAACGTCATTTCGTTGTGGATGTTGTAAAATAAGACTATGGGAAATGTTAGTAAGACTTTTCGTCAGACGTAAAGACAGACCTGCGTCGGCAGCACCTGCAAAGGTTCGAGACGTCTGGTATTGCAATCGTCAATCCGTTTGCAAAGTGTGACGACCAAAGCAAGTTCTCGCTACATATGGGGACAAGTGGACTTTTATCACTGTCCGAGAATATCGAATGTCCGAGAATAGGGATCGAAACACTGTAACACATCGTATCCTAGCACAAGTTCCACTCTCTTACAATGGTCAATCGTTAAGAAAGTGTTTAGTTTAATTTATACGCTGTCATTTGAATCATTGTGATGAGAAATAAACTATTTTTTAAATTTAGGCCAAAAAAGAAGAAGAACGCCAAATTTTTTTATATGATAAGGGTAACAAACGAGCACACAGTCCACCTGATGGCAAGTGGTTGCTGTGGTCCATAGACATCTATATCTATCCTCGATTACGAATCGAAATGCAGATGCGTGATTCACCCGTGAGGACTAAGATGGAATGCTTCGTTTCCAGTAAAAAGGGTCTCCGGTTCTCTACACTCACCATACGAAACACAACAGCGTTAAGCTGCTATTTTATGCTGATATTCAACACACTTTGTATTATATTGGTAATATAATACAGAGTGTGGTTTTTAAAATGCAAACTGATAGATATAATACAAGTTACCGGAAATAACACAAAGTTTATTTATTTCTTTACAGTTCAAGCCGTCAAAAGAGGGACAAACCAATGTACCAATTAGATAAACGAACGAACATGCGAGTTTTCAACCTTGAACCATAGATCTGGACGACCCAGCGCTGTTAAGTTTCGAAGCGAAGAAGAAGTCGAGCGATTTTTATCTTTGAGTAATAAGGATAGTTTTAAACTAACATAAGTTCTACTTTTGTACTTAACTAAATGTATTATATTAATTAAGATTTGAGTTTGTTTGATGAGTGTTTAGTAAATGACATTAAAATATAGATATATTTTTCTATGAATTTATTTGTAATCATAATATAATAATACACAGTTAATAATACCAAGAGAAGAGGGAAGAGATTTACAGGCTATAATTTTACTTATCCACTTTTTATCTCATCCAGTAGATGTCATTAGGGAAATGTCCGGAAGACTTAAGCCTATATACGTATATGGACGCCTCCAATGAATGGCGGTGTAACTATCTCGTATTAAAGATAGATATAAAATTCCCCGAATAGCTACGGTAAGTGCTTCTTGTGTGGCAAATTCTTGTGCGTCCATTTTGAAAGCGCTATAATTTGTAAACAATCACACATACTCCTCACGATCTTGCTCGAAGGACCAAAAAGTAATTTTAAATCTTGAATAAAAATATATCTCGGAAATTACACGCAGTAATTACGCAATATAGTTTCCTCAACTCCTTTCCACATTCAGTGGAATTAAATTCACAGCGGCCTTCTGTTTACGTTATGGATTTACATAGAAATTTCAAGGTCACGTGTAAATAAACTGAATATAAAATCCACTTTTTCATGTTAATACAATGCGGACGTGTTCTGAGAGAAAACTGAATAGCCTTTTTTATTTACTAACTTGATACGTTCAATATAACTACCCTAATTGAATAATCATAGTAGGTGGTGGGACTCCATTTCTTTGTTGAATTTCGTCTAGGTAGGTAATATACTCTTACCCATTTCCGCGACCAAGCAGCGCCTTCACTGCGTTGTTCCGTGTTCAGTATAATCACGAGGCATTCTGTTTTAGTCTTCAGAGGCGAGAACGCATCCACAGTTACAGGTGTCTGTCCATGCAATGCAGTAGCCGCGTATCATTTAGATGGACAGTAAGCTAGTTCGTCATAACGATTAAAAAAAACGAGATTTAAAATAAGAATACTAGTAACGTAATTAACATTACCAATACTCCCCTTAACCACCCCAAGTAAGCTACAAATCCTCGTGTTAGGAGTGCTTCTAGACAGTAGTCGAATGGCTTATTCGAACTCACGATCATCCGTGATGGCGATCCGAAACCCTTAACCAGTAGGCTACTGTGGTTTCCGATCAGTTGCAATAGTAGGCGGATAATATAATATTTAATTAAAAACTTACCTTTTCCTGCTGCGGGAATTCCGAGTTATTCTGCTGCTGTTGCTGTTGAGCACGGGACGCGGCGAGCGTAGCGAGCTCGGACATGTTCACGTACAGTGCTTGTGGCATTTCTATAGGACAAAATGAAAAAACATTAAAGAAAATGTTATTATTTTTATAGAATAAGGGTAACAAAGGAGCACACAGTTCACCTGAAGATTCTGCTATATCACCCTGGAATTCTGTGAGAGCGTGGTCCCATTCGTGCTGTATGTATACGTACGTATGGCTCTACCACGTGATATGCTCCTCAGAAATCAACAAATACTATTCAGTCTTTACTTGCGATTATTACAGTAATTTATTTATTCTTTATGGTACACACAATTTACATCCTATATGCGTCCACTGCTGGGGACAGGCCTCCTCTCATTTCTGAGAGGGTTTTAGGGCAAGGAAGTGTCCGCCGCGCGGCTCCAATGCGTGTTGGCGAACTTCACATGTCCTCGAAATATTTTTTCTAATTTTTCAGACATGCAGGTTTCCTCACGATGTTTTCCTTCACCGTCGAGCACGTGGTAAATCAGCACTTAAAAATGCAACTAACAATTTCATTGATGCCGGTTGGGATCAGACTCGCGTGCTGTGAAATTTACAGCTTGCGCTAACTAGCGAGCGAGCATTTTAAAAAACACAATCTGAGCTACCTCGTCTCATCATGTACAAATGTGAGTAGAATGAAATAAGTTTGTATGTAAAGCAAGATACTACCTAGCAACGTACAAATTACAAGTATTTAAATGTAATTAAGTTAAAAGTACGAGTATGTGTTAAAATATTTTTTATTAAACTGAAGTGACAAATGTACTTAGTCCACTTGATGGTAGGTGACCACTGCAGTTAATGGCACCCGTAGCCAACATTAAACAAATAAGGCTACGATGCATCTATAATCATACTGCCTGTATATCCTTCAGAGCGGACCAGTGCACGCACTGGTGTTTATCGTCAGAAATAATATACTTTACCTTTAGTTAGATGTGGTGGAAGCGAGGAAGGTTTCATCGGCTTGAACTCCTGCTGTCCCGTGTTGGCGTTGTTGGACTTGGCCGGTACCGACGGCCTCTCTAACGAGGAACATCGCTGCAAAGTAACATAAGTTTTATATTCTCTTTATTATTTTGGTTAAACGAAATAATAGAAAATAGAAAAAAAAAGAAAAATCATTTTCAATAAAAGAAGTAAAAAGATAGATACAAATAGAAACAACGTCACCTACGTTAGTCACCTACCATCAGGTGATACGCTCGTTCATTTTACCCCTCTTCCATGAAAAGGTAAGATTTCAGTTTTGATTAACAAACAGGGGTCTAGTTTCTGCGATTATAATGCTGTTAGCCTATGCGGCTCTTACAGCTTTTTTTTTATAGGATAAGGGTGACAAACGAGCACACAGTCCACCTGATAGTAAGTGGTTGCTGCGGCCCATAGACATCTACATCTATCCTCTGTTACAAATCAAAATGTAGATGCGTTGTCACCCGTGAGGACTAAGATGGAATGCCTGATTTCCAGTAAAAAGAGCCTCCGGTCACCTGCACTCATCAAGCGAAACGCAGAGGTAAACCTCTACTTCACGCTGGTTTTCTGTAGGTCGTGGTACTACCCCGGTTCGAGCCGGCCCATCCGTGCGACAGCAAAAGCTGCCGCGTGGCTCTACCACTGTTAGACATCGGACACAGCTTATAAAAAAACAGGAGGGGGAGATTATTTATTTTGGTGCAACGCTGCGTAAGCCACGTTACCCCAAAATCGATAATCTAGGGGGTGGGATAAATTGTGTTCAGTAATCACATTATCGTTACATCAACATCTACATCAAATAAGCAAGGCGTATTTGATGTAGATGTTGGCTATGCCGCCGAAAAACACATCATGACATGGGTGTAGTTGTACTCACAGTGGGCAGTGGCGGCCGTGCGTATATCCCTCCCTCGCGGGTCAGAGTGCCGAGCGCTTCCGATGTGAAGGTGTGGACGCTCAGCGCTGGCCGCGGGTGCACACGATCCGCTGTTAGGGTACAAATTACATTCAATTAAAATTTGCTTAAGGTTTGTTCCGTTCCCATTTTCTGCGTGTGTATACAATGTCTACGACGGAAAACATCGTGAGGAAACCTGCATATCTGAGAAAAAGAAAAAGAAATATTTTCGAAGACATGTGAAGTTCGCCAACACGCATTGGGGCAATGCGGCGGACATTTCCTTGCCCTATAACCCTCTCAGAAATGAGAGGAAGCCTGTGCCCAGCTGTGGAACGTATATAGGCTGTAACTTTACTTACTTTTTTTTACTTTTATGCAATGTAAGCTAAAGAAACGGTTCTTTTTGAAGTTGTTTTATAAGTATATTAATACGTAAATATACTGACTGGGACTTATATTATTCGAAAGCTTATACCCAAATACTCAAACGCTGCTCAATTTTAAGTTGTGGTTAAGTCTCCTAACGTCTCCATCTCTTTAAGGCAAAGTGACTGTGACAGTGACACCACGAGACTTAACGAAATATTAAAAAGAATTTGAGTATTTGGCCATTAGAGTATTCATTCTACAAGGTACCGTAAAATAGATGTAATCAGTTTCATTCCTTTATAATATATCACACCCCCCCCCTCCCCAACATTACATCAAAGATGAATTTTGCCATAGTTGCCACGCTTGGGAAGCGTGTTGGCAACCGCAGTTTTTTCATTACTGTTCATACTTTTTCGGGAAGAAGCTGCTGTCCACCTCCACTTTCAGTTTCCTTCTATCGTCTCTCACAACAACCACGGGTTGTTGTGAGAGACGATAGAAGATTAGTTATTATTACGCTGCCACTGTAGCCTTCTTTGTTTGAAATTGTCAGATGTCCATGATTGCAGGAATCACTTACCATCAGGTGAACTGACAGATTATTTGCCACCCTACAATTCTAAAATAATAAGACCATTCACCACTTACTAACACAAAACATATAAATCAAGATAGCTTCAAGACCATGTGGTGATCGCGTAAGAGAATCTATCGCCAGTCCGTCCCGTGGGTGTCACAAGATGTGATTATCGGACACACAAGAAAAAACTAATGGCTTCCGCTAGATGGCGGTAACCATCTTGTTTAGACCGGACACGAAATCCGGCAACGAGAGAATCGTCCAATTTTTTTACATCTCCATCAGTTTGCGAAGCGTGACGACTAAAACAAACCGTTCCTACAATAAGAGTTTCCCATATCCAAAAATAGATTTTTTCAGAAAGAAGAAGAAAAAGAAAAATCTGATGGAAGTACAACACTATTATGTATGCAACATTACTTAACTTGCAATGCCAGAAAGGAGGAGCCCTGGTGACCTGTAATACAAGTTTTTTATACCTACTCAGGCACCGTGAAGCTCAGATAGGCGCCGTGATAGCTCACATGGTTAGCGCTCGCTGTAAATTTCACAGCACGCAAGCAAATACGGTTTCGATCCCCGCCGGCACCAATGAAATTGTTAGTTAAAGGTGACAACGCTCTCTTGAAGAACTACAGACCGATTTCCCTTCTGAGCCGCGTCTACGTGCTGTTTTCGAGTCATTACGAATCGTCTCACGCGTAGACTTGACGACTTCCAGCCTCCCGAACAAGCCGGTTTCCGAAAAGGCTTTAGCGCCATAGACCACATATATACCCTTCGGCAAATTGTACAGAAGTCTGAGGAGTACAATTTGCCACTATGTCTGGTGTATGTGGACTATGAGAAAGCCTTTGATTCCGTCGAAATTTGGGCGGTGCTGCTGTCCCTTCAGCGATGCCAAGTTGACTGTCGGTATATCGAAGTGCTGAAGTGCTTGTACAGTAGGGCTACAATGGCTATCCGAGTATAGAACCAGAGTACGAAACCTATCCAGTTGCAGAGAGGTGTAAGACAGGGTGACGTGATATTCCCGAAACTCTTTACCGCTGAATTGGAAGACGTTTTCAAGCTTCTGAACTGGAAAGGATACGGTATTAACATCAATGGTGAGTACATCACTCACCTTCGATTTGCCGACGATATAGTCCTTATGGCAGAATCGCTGGAAGACCTAAGCACTATGCTCAATGACCTCAATAGTGTTTCCCAACGGATAGGTCTTAAGATGAACATGGCCAAAACAAAGATCATGTTTAATGTCCATGTCACACCTATGCCGGTAGTTGTTGGGAGCACTAAGCTCGAAGTTGTTGACGAGTATGTTTACCTGGGACAAATAGTCCGACTAGGTAAGTCCAACTTCGACCGAGAGGTCAATCGGCGGATTCAACTCGGTTGGGCAACGTTCGGGAAATTACGGCACATCCTCTCGTCAGGTATACCTCAAAACTTGAAAACAAGACTGTACAACCAGTGCGTGTTGCCAGTGATGACCTATGGTACTGAGACGTGGTCCTTCACTTCTGGCCGGATGAGGAAGCTCAAGGTCGCTCAGCGAACTATGGAGAGGGCTATGCTCGGAGTTTCTCTGCGTGATAAACTTAGAAATGAGGATATCCGCAGTAGAACCAGAGTGACCGACATAGCCCAACGGATTAGTAAGCTGAAGTGGCAATAGGCGGGCCATATAGCTCGAAGAACCGACAACCGTTGGGGATGAAAGGTTCTCGAGTGGCGGCCTCGTACCGGCGGACGAAGTGTAGGGCGTCCCCCCACTAGATGGAGTGACGATCTGGTAAGATATGCAGGAAGTCGATGAATATAGGTATCTCAGGACCGTGCTTTGTGGCATTCTTTTGGGGGAGGCTTATATTCAGCAGTGGACATGTGAAGGGCTGTAATGATGATGATAATGATGAATTTATGGATGGCCCCTTAGGTCTGGCACCTCTTTAATACCTAGCACTAAGATTACCTATTATGAACAAAGAATAAATGGATTCATTCATACATTATATGCAAAAAATTAAAGGTAGGTCATTTAGTTTTACAGAACGTACTTAAACTAAAGGTTCAACGCAATAATCGGAATCCTCGGCGTCGACATATCGAGTAGCGTGCAGTTTCGTGGTCACTTGGAAGAGAAGGCCAAATTGGCCTCTAAAAAGCTTGGCGTGCTCAGCAGAGCGGGACAGTATTTCATGCCGGCTCAACGCCTGCAACTTTACAAGGCGCAGGTTCGGCCTCACATGGAATACTGTTCCCATCTCTGGGCTGGGGCTCCCCAGTGCCAGCTTCTTCCACTTGACCGCATCCAGCGCAAAGCGGCTCGAATCGTCGACGACAGAGTCCTTTCCGATCGGCTCGACTCATTGGCACTGCGAAGAGATGTTGCATCTCTTAGCATTTTCTTTCGCATTTACCATGGGGAGTGCTCTGAGGAATTGTTCGGATTAATCCCAGCCGCCAAATTTCACAAACGCACATCGCGGCAGAACTCCCGATACCATCCACACCATCTGGATGATTGGCGGTCCACCACTGTGCGATTTAGAAGATGTTTTCTTCCTCGCACAACTTCCTTGTGGAATAGTTTACCACCAGCGATTTTTCCGGACCGATACGACTTAGGGACCTTCAAGAAAAGAGCCTACTCCTTTTTAAAAGGCCGGCAACGCATCTGCAATTCCCCTGGTGTTGCGGTTGTTCATGGGCGGCGGTAGTCACTTACCATCAGGTGAGCCGCATGCTCGTTTGCCCCCTCTTCTATAAAAAAAAAAATCATTACCCGATGATATGGTATGTGGTCGACCGCCCATAATAGCTGAAGCGGCCCTTTCGAACTGCGCCGTATCTTTCAAATCGGGCCAAGTCGCTGACGCTGCAAAAACACATATGTATATAGGTGACTATTTGAAACAGAAAACTTTGTATGAGCAATAATTATTCAAAACAAAAATATGTTCTAAGGAATCTCGAGCTAGAGTTTAGAAAAAACTATTTGTTTTTTTTATTTTTTAAATATGTTTCATTGAGAGTTGGAGAGTTTCGATGTTGTGGTCCTCCAGATCGAATTTCGGTCACAGCGGCCAGTCTCAACTTATTGTTATGCCAGTCTCAATATATTATACCAGCCATTTGCGCAGGACAGGTTTATAGTGCCCAAGTGTATGCGCAAGCACAGGTGCACTCTCTATTGCCTCACTCTCATAGTCCGATGGGACGGTAAACCGACACGAGCGGAGAGAGATCAGGCGCAGGACCAACGGCTTTACGTGCTTTCCGAGGCAGGAGGGTGAAACGCCGCCAACTTCCAGACTCCGGGCTGGTACAGGGGATTTCTTGACAGGAAACATAATAACAGATTTTAGACCGACACGGCATTCGAATCCGGAACCTCACGATTAACAGTCACTATACGACCACTAGAGCGACGTGGTAGCTAATTATACTATTAAACAATTAGATAAATTTTATAATGTGTGGATAAAACAAGATCGATTCCAGTCAGCACCAACAAATTTTTTTTGGTTTTGGAATTTGATTGAAATCAAACTTGTCTGCCACAGCCAGACTCTCGGTTTTCCATTTTTTTTTTTCTTTTTTATAGGATAAGGGTGACAAACGAGCACACAGTTCACCTGATGGTAAGTGGTTGCTGCGGCCCATAGACATCTACATCTATCCTCGTTTGCGAATCAAAATGCAGATGCGTTGCCACCCGTGAGGACTAAGATGGAATGCCTCATTTCCAGTAAAAAGGGCCTCCGGCCACCTGCACTCACCAAGCGAAACGCAGAGGTAAACCTCTACTTCACGCTGGTATTCTGTGAGGTCGTGGTACCACCCCGGTTCGAGCCGGCCCATCCGTGCGACAGCAAAAGCTGCCGCGTGGCTCTACCACTGTGGGATAGGATACATTCCAGAAATTACATGATCTAATACTGCCCTCCCCTTTTTATCATCGGACAAGTAGATAGTCGGCAGGTTATCACACCTTAATAGTAGATTCTCCACGCGTTTGAACCAAACGGATTGCTGCGTATTTCGTAATACGTGCGCAAACTAATGGAATAATTTTCCAGTGTCTATCCTTCCTTCTGATTAAACTGTAGATGTGATGTCAAGGCAAGAATCAATATGCTTTTGTCACGCTAAGACAGTGCGATTTATCATTTAGGGCTTTATAATCTCTAACTACTAATGCCCGATTTCTATATTCAAGTAACATTTCGTTCTCCGTAACGATCAGTTTTATAACATACGAGGTGCATGTTAAAAAAGTTCATATTATTTTACAAACCGTTCCTCTTTCTCCTTTTTGAAGGGGGTTTATATTATTACTGCAAAAGGGGCATAAAAGAAAATGAAGCCTTTTTAAATATATAAAGCTATAAGTGAGATTGTATTCAAGCACTAACCTAAAATAAGTAACTTAAAAAAATCCATATCATAAATCGTAATCATATGTAATGTATAATAAAATTATGTAAATGTAGCTATTAATGTATAGATCGAAAACTCACCGGCATTCCCCATAGCGTCATGGCCGTCGTCCGTACTGTCGTCTTCGATGGCGCTTTTGGACGGCGTGATACATTCGCTGCTTACGCTCTGATTGTCTAAACCCTGAAAAATTGTTTCCCTTGAAAATTGCCAGGTAATATCAACTAGATGTGTAGATTTTGTTAACCGACTCCTTTTCTCCATGGAAGTCGGTCAAGGTGCCATCCTCTTACATATTTTTATAGGCTGTGAGGCATTCTATCAGATATCAATGCATCCTATAGGCTTTCTAAAGGTATCCATGTGTTGCTGTAGCCACTAGGTGCATGTAGTAAATGGCTCCGTGGTTAGAAGGCTCCGCAGCGAAGTGGCTTAGCATTTAGTAGCTGTGCTGTCGTAGTTTCGAATTTCGCACGGAAAAAGGATTTGTATGCCTCACAAATAACTTTTTCCGGTTCTGGATGTTCGTCCTTGTGCAATTTATGTGTGTTAATTGCCATAATCATATGAGAAAATCCTGGTGTGGGGGTAGCATTTATTTAAGAGATAAAATATAAAGTAAATAAGTAAATAAAGTCAGTTTATCACCGTAAGCCTAAAAGAGCTAACTTCTTATCAGTTCCTAACAGTTCACTGTGAGAAATGGGTCGCTGTTTTTGTCATAATCACTACTCCTGGTAATTGGAATTGCCGTCACAGTTTCAGAGTTCCCACACCTTTGACGTTAAATCCCGTCGCCAGTTTATCTATTGTACTAATGCTGCTCCATGTGCTCGGCGGTGATGGAAAAAATCGTGAGGTAACCTGCAAGTCTGAGAAAATAGAAAGAATAACTTCATAGACATGTGAAGTTCGTAACACGCATTGGGGCAGCGCGGCGGTCATTTCCTTGCCCTAAAATCTTTTCAGAAATGAGAGGATGCGACGTGTACGGAGGTGCACACTGAAATGATCGGGAATAGAATATTGCGGATTGAGTTACAATAAAACCTTTTATAGAATTTGAATACTGGCCTCTTAGAATGTTAATGACATTCAAACAATTAAAAAAAATGTTTAAAAAACAAAAACTATGTTGGTTTAAAGTTGACACGTCGTTAACAGAATTGGAGCTCACGTGTGAACATTTTCGTGCCATCATTTATCACAATTTTCGTCGCGGCTTATCTCATGATAAATGTCTTAGCGAACTTGTTTCGATTTATTATGTTGAAGCACCGAGTCAAACGACAATATACCGCTGGTTTGGCGAATTCCGACGCGGTCGTGTGTCGCTCAGCACTGTTTCTTCTGCTGGTCGACCAAGAACAGCGGTCACGCCTGAAAGCATCGCAGCTGTGCGAACTATTATATTAGATGACCGTCATGTGACATACGAGCAGAATCGGGCTATTATCAGAATCGGAATGACTGCAATTCAGTCGATATTAGATAATGAGCTGTGTGTAAGAAAGCTAGTTTCCCGTTGGGTTCCACACAATTTGTCCGAAGAGCAAAAGGCGGCTCGTGTAGATTGGTGCCGGAATACTCTGCAACGCTTCAATGGAGGGAAGTCAAATGCCGTTTATAATATCGTCTCAGGTGACGAATCATGGATTTATGCATACGAACCTGAAAGAAAACATCAGTCAGCAGTTTGGGTCTTCGAAGACGAGGTCAAACCAACGAAAGTGGTTCGCTACCGCAGCGTGTCAAAGAAAATGGTCGCTACGTTTGTCTCGAAAAAAGGGCATGTTGCTACAATTCCTTTACAGGAACGCAGAACGGTTACCGCTGAGTGGTGTATCATGGTTTGTTTGCCAGAAATGATAGCCGAACTCCGAAAAAATAACCCGAAACGTAGCATCATCTTAAATCACGATAATGCGAGCTCCCATACGGCTCGGACGACAAATGATTTTTTGAAGCAGGAAAACGTTGAGCTGATTAGCCACCCTCCGTACAGTCCTGATCTGAGCCCAAACGATTTCTTTACATTCCCTAGAATGAAAGATTTATTACGCGGTGAACGGTTTGAAGACCCCGAAGCAGTTGTGGAAGCGTACTAATCAGACATTTTGTCAACATCAACTTCAGACTGGAATCACTGTTTTAATTCTTGGTTTGCACGAATGGAAAAGTGCATTAAGTTGAACGGAGAATACTACGAAAAACAATAAAATACAATTTAGCTATACCGTGTATGTGGTTTTTCTTATTCCCGATCATTTCAGTGTGCCCCACGTATAGGCTGTAACTCTAACTATAACTAATGATGTATTGTACCCTGATACTAGGTGGTATGATTCCTTTTGCCTTGAGAGTTCATCTGAGTAGATATTACCTTTTTACCTATTTCTGCCACCAAGTAGCAGTGAGTACTGTGTTTCGGTCAAATGGTAGGACTCTCAAGACTTAAAGATCCTATATAATAACAGGCTGTGAGATATTCCATATTAGTCTTCAGAGGTGACAACGCAGACTTCTTTGTTTAGATTAGGTTATTTGGTTATGGTATTTAAGTAAGTTTCTACGGGCTGCAATAGCCACTCACCATCGGGTAGACTGTTCTACAGTTTATTAAAAAAACAACAAGTAGCGAGGAATAGCATTACCAGTGATGGTGTCGACTCTGCGGTTATCAACTTAGCTGCATAGCGAGTTGTGGGCAGATTTTTGTAGGAATGGATTCAAGTTAATGGCTTCTTGCGCTAAATCCAGCAGAGAACTTAAAAAAGCTGATGATAATGAAAGATGTGATTTGTTATATGAGACCAAAGTCCTCAATTTATACGTGGTAGAGCCCTGCTGCAGCTTTATTAGTAGTATAGTTGTAGCACTAATGGGTCGGCTCGACCGGGGAAGGACCACGCTCTCACAGAATACCAGCTGCTGTGTTTCGTATGGTGAGTATAGAGAACTGGAGACCCTTTTTACTGGAAAATAGGCATTCCATCTTACAACAAGGTGACAACGCATCTGCATTTTGATTCGCAAACGAGGATAGATGTAGATGTATATGGGCCACAGCAACCACTTACTATCAAGAGGACTGTGTGCTCGTTTGTCACCCTATCACATAAAAAAAATAATGAATACCAAATTAACAAAAATAGCAGTAGCAATGAAAGCTAACACGGCTATGTTATGATGTCATAATAACGTTCAAAATACGCTTCATCCGGTTTATTGAAGGGTTATATTTATGTTGGTCGGGTTATAATGACAAAAAAACAACAATTACATAAGCACACACACAACAAAATAAAAACTAACTAAACACTAATAACTAACTATAACTAAAACTAAAAGCAGTGAAAAACATAAAAATTACATTATGAGTGTAGAGCGAACGTCGTTGCAAGGTGTCTTGTGATCTGAAACCGGAATCCGTACTGCACACGCTCGACAGTCGCAATGCTGACTACAGTGATAAAAAAATATAATAAAAACAAAGTATAATAAACATAAAGGCTTTGTGAACACTTAATTTTAAAAATATACAGTCGGCCATATCTAACCCTTTCGCTATCCCGTGTACTATATGTAGGAAATTGCTATTGTCTTACTATTGTATCTAAAAACCGGACAGTTAAAGTGTTAAAAAAACATTGTATTTGCCTATTTATTATTGACTAATGTTAAAATCAACTAAACACCAATTCAATTAATTTAAAAATAGTTAAAAATGTTAATGTATGGATTCGGATAAATATTTTAACTGATATGATTATGTCGACTGAAATGATTATGTCGATGTTCCGTTTTTCAAATATAGTACACTGAACAGGAAAATTATCAAAACAGACGTTGTTATATTTTGATCATTTTTATACAGAATTAAAAAAATGGCTGTTTGCGGTTTGCCAATATTTATATCCCAAAGTAATGTATTAGCATACTTTCTACATTTTTAACACGTCAAAATATATAGCATTAAATTACATAAAACAGCTAAATAATACAATAACTATGAGTAAATAAAAGATAAAAGGAATTACAACTAACTGGAATTTATAATACAAAAAAAGCTTTTAATATTTACGCAACAAGCAAAAATGAACCTAAACTCTAGCCGACAAGTCTGAAAATCACTTACCTGTGACAGACAATGTTGCGATTCGCCTCCAGCCGTTGATATCGTGCCACCGGAGGAATTAGAAATCGGCGTTGAACAACTGACAGTTGATCCGGAAACACCTGAAAAGAAATAGAGACTTGAAATAATAATTATTATTTAACCGTAGCCGCTTAAAGAGCTCTTCGTTTGTGAGCTACCATAAACGAAGAGCTCGCGGTGAATTATGCCCAGCAGGGGGACGTAAGCTGCAACTTTTCATTATTCCTTTAACAGAAAACTTTGTGCAATGAATATTCATTGATGATGACCTTCATTGATTGCTTAACCGGGTCGCTGCTAGCAAGCTACTGTCTTCGCACTCACGCGTCGAGCAACTGCTTTCCGCACACCGACGCGCCATCTGGCGAGCGTTTTTTCACCTACATACTATCGGGACACGGGTACAAATTATCTTTTTTGGCCTAAACAGGTAGTTTAACAAAAACGTTAGGATATTGCCCTAGACTATTCTCTTGTACTTTTTTTATAGAACAAGCGAACACACAATCTACCTGATGGTAAGTGGATGCCGTGAATCATAGACATCTACATATATCTTCAATTAAGAATTAAAATGCAGATACGTTATCACCCCTAAGGACTTAGATTGAATGCCTGGGTATAAGTAAAAAGGCTCTCAGGTTCTCTGCACTCACAATACAAAACACAGCAGCATTAAGCTGTTCCCTTTCACGCTGTGGTTCTGTAAGAGCGTGGTCCTTCCCCTGTCAAGCCGCCCCGTTAACGCTGCAGTCATAATATAGCTGCAGCGTTGCTCTACCACGTGTCAAAATCGTGGCAACGTGGAGGCGTTTTACGTACATAAATTGCACATAAACAAATTACCTGTCCATGTAGTAGTGTCGGTGTAACAATAGCTACTGCCTCATGTCGTCCCGTGGGTGTCGTGAGATTATGTATTTTATTATGAATTATGTATTTTTAACTAACCGTGTTGTTGGTCCGAGCACTGACTATTGAGAGAAGAGATAGAGGTGAGAGATGATTTGCGGCTTCCGAGACGGGAAGAGGTAGACGGAGAATGTGGCGCGGACTCGCTCTCCGCCCAGCCACTGTAGCAAGACTTCACGTCGCAGATAACCTGAAAATTAATATTCAATTATGTATTTTTAGTCATAGCCCATACAATATAAAACAATTTCGCACTCATAAAAAAAACTGCGTAATAGATATTATTTAAAATATGTTTTAATTGTTTATTTGTCGAAAAAAATTGGCTTAAAGTCGATATTATTATTTGTTCTTTCGATGTGTGATACTAAAAAAGTTCGTCACAGGCATGCCAAAAATGACATCACTCAGTAACTCGGCATGTTTTGTGGTGAAGCCTTCATTTTTAGTAATGACAAAAAAATCTTGAAGAATAAGCCCCGAGAATAAATGAATGTAATTATAATAAAATGGCTACCAGACGGAGTTTTGATTACGGCAGCCAGACTCAACGGAAGCTAGCCATTTCCGCAGGATAGGATTGTAGTGCACGAGTGTATGCACAAATACAGGTGCATTCTCTATTCCCTCACTTTCCTCATCCGATGGAACAGTAAACCGACACGAGAGATACCGTAGAGAGATCGGGCGCAGAACCAACGGCTTTACCTGCTTTCCGAGTCCCGGGGGTAGAGTAATCGTGTTCGTGTGTTGCGTGTACCCCCGCAACTTTTACTGAACCATAACACAAGCAATGTTACTTCTATATTTATTACTAGCGACGCGCCGCGGCTTCGCCTGGTTGAGAACTATTAGTATGGGTTGCAAGAATATCCACTACCCCATATCATCCCGAGGGTGACGTAAGAGGCGGCAGAGAGAAACAAATCAGGAGATGGGCAGAAGCGTCTTCCTAATAACGACTAACAATAAAAAACTGCATTTGACAACCCGCTTGCCAAGCGTAGGAACTTTGGAAATGTCCGCACTATCAGGCAATCTATGTGGGCGGCCTATGTTCAGCAGTGGACTTTAACAGTCTTAAACGGTAACGGTAATGGTATGCCTTACAAATGTTAACAGTCAGACATACCTGAAGACTGGCTGCCGGCAAAGTCCTAGGTTCAGAGGTGTGCCGCGTTAATTGCTCACTTCCTTCTTGCAGGTGTCCAACCTCGGCTAGCATCGCCACTTCACTCTCCTGCAAAGCGGAATAAACAGTATAATACAAGATACAGGATAAGAATAAGATGGTTATTATAATATATTGTTATCTACTATTTTAAACAAAAAATTACTATACTGTTGTTGGTTTTACGACCTTAAACTAAAGCTTACTTAAATATATTTTTATTGTTTGTGGAAATTTCAAACGATGTATGCAATAAAATAATAAATGAATACATATTAAATTTCTTTATTACGGATCACGTCCATATTTAATTAGTAAGTTGCTTACAACTATGTTACTATAGTATGATATAAGTAGGCCACATCTGACTGCCCCGTTGGTCTAGTGGTTGTAGTAGTGGGACTGTTGATCATGAGGTTCCGGGTTCGAATCCCGGGTCGAACTTGAATGAATCAATTATTGACCTTTTCCGTCAAGAAATTCTCAGTAGCTGTCCGTGCCTCGAAAAGCATGTAAAGCCGTTGGTCCTGTGCCTGATCTCTCTCCGGTCATGTCGGTGTACCGTCCCATCAGACTTTGAGAGTGAGGGAACAGAGTGTGCACCTTCGCCGATGGCTAGTCTCCATTGGGGCTGGCCGCCGTGGCCGAAATTCGGTATGGAGGACATTATGTAGGCCAATGACCCCATCACCACTTACTCTGGATGTTTACCTGTCAACGTACCAGAGATTATGACTTTACGCTTTCCATGAATGTCATTGACCCTTCCATTGGCAAACATGCATGAGGCGCAGTCAATCTCAACAGAATGCAATGATGCAATGAGGTTATTTAATACATGTTCTTTAAGTCGTGGGACTTCTTTTCTGGGTACGTACTCGTAACACTTTCTTACGAATTTCTGCCACGAAATAGCAAAGTCTGCACTGCTATGTTCCGGTCTGAAAGGCATAGACAGCCAGTTTAATAACAAGCTATAAGGCATTCCATCATAGTTCCCTCTTTTTTGTTTTAAATTGGTTGTAGGTGTCCATGGACTACAGTTGCCACTTACCTTCAGATGGACTCTAAGTTCCCAGTTTTATAAAGAAAAAACGTGTGTGTGTACTTATGTACGTACGTAGGAAGTCATACTTCTTTAGAGTAACCAAACAAAAATAACTACACATAATATATATAAAAGACGTGTTGTAGAGTCATATATATTTGAATAAATATCTACCGTAAATATAGTTATCAGTTCCCACGAAAACTTGAGAGACAATTACCCACTGAAGTTGTCGCTTTTAGGTGTCAGTGTGCGCGCGCATCGTAACAATTTCACGGTGTCGTTTTTAGGAGTCGGTGTGCGCGCGCATGTTAAAAATTCCCTGTCACCAAACACCCCAAAAGAAGTATAATTTTAAAAATACATATCTTACCACGACGGGATTCAGCAAGGTAACAAAGTGACAAAAGCGGCTTCGCTCCTCGATTAGTGCAGCCTTCACCGCTTTCTCTTCCATCTCTTCCAGTTGCTGCTTGCGCTCTTGAATATCCTGATGATGGATAATAATCATTATCTATATATAAAAGATATGTACCGATTGAAATAGAAAGCTTAAATGAACACATTAGGAGGGTTATTGTAGGAGGCTCCCTTTATAATGCAGACAAGAAATAAGGAGGATTTCGTCTAAATTCCTACGCGATGTGGAAGAAAGAAGATTTATATTTACGCTTAAGTCATAAAAACTCATTGTACGAAAATTTTCTCGCGTTAAATTCATGCTGACGTGACACAGACAATTTTCAATTTGCCGCCAAATCGTACATAAATGACAAATTAATAAAATACACAATAATATTGGCAAAGTGTTCCATTTTCAAAATTTGAACTTATTTTTTTATTATATCGTTTACAAGTGGCTAGTTCTAAAAACTCAGTGTCGCCCACGTAATATGGTATGGTAAGATATAGTCCACCGAGTAGTGGCGTTGTAAGAACATCCACTATTCCATATCATCCCATAGGTGTCGTAAGAGGCGACAGAGGGAAACAAATCAGGAGGTAGGCAGTAGCGTCTTCCCAATAACGACTAAATATAAAAAACTGCGGTTGCCAACCCGGCCCATCAGTGGACTTCAATAGGCTGTAACGGTAAGTTATAGACTATGGGTACACGCGTAGAATATGTCTAGTAAAACACACACACGGTACGATACACCTATCCTAAAAAAGTACAGTTCCTTAGGAAGCAACTATAAACAAAATTACAGTAATTTCCAATGTCACGCGAGCAAAGCCGCGGGCGATCGCTACTTAATAATGTAAAACGAAATTCACGACCTATCCGCGTCTGTTTCTATGTTCGCTTTTACGAGTTTTATCCAACATTTAAAGAATATTTCAGGAAAGTTAACATGCATATTTTATAGCAAAATAAATGGCGAAATTTTGTCGTTTTATGATCAAGATGTCAAATGATAACTTTTCAAGTTATCACACTGGTGAATCGCACCCCTACGAAGGTCGGGGTCGGTGGTACTTCGTAACCAGTAAAATGTTTGTGCAACAAAAAAAAATTAAGTATTCGAAACTAAGTTTATTGTGTATGTTTTCGTGCATGAAACTTCAATGAAAAAGTGAAACCCGATACAGCCTCGGAATTTTTCTTGGGAGATTTAATTCATCATTATAATCATTATTACATCACTGCTCACTGTTCAGTGGTGAACATATGCCTCCCCCGTAAATTGCAACAATACATGATTCTCTGTCTATAGGGTCCATGGACTCCATAGACTGATGACGACCTGATGAATTATAATTAGCCTGCCATGTAAAATGGAGAACTGACATCAGATGGTTAAGAAAGGTTCTCGAGTAGCAGACAGTATATTACAGTACAATTTCTGTATTGTTTATATATTCATTTAAAACTATATGTTTGAAATTAACTGCAGTTATTAACATCTATTGATTGCTTTTACTACGAACCGATTTTTCAAAAGTCAGATACTATACTATACTATTACCTGACTAAATATAAAACTATAACCTGAAAAGATTTTTTTATGTTGCACTTCATCCTAAGAATAACGTTTATCCCTTAATAAAATAGTTAAAATAATTGACGTTTATAATTTATATGACTGGTAACTTTTATCTGACATTCTCATTTTTCTTTTTAAAGAAGAAAAATGAAAAATGAAAAAAGAATTGAAAAATCGGCCCTAACTATTCAATAAAAAGAGACACCAACCTGCAAGCAAACATCGGCACGTCTCTTCGCATCTGGTGGGGCACGCCTCGCTTTTCTGGCGTGACGTTGAGCTTCCTGCACTCGCCGTCTCAGTTCCGCCCGGGCCCTCTTGCACTCCCGGGCGTGTTCCCTCCCAAGCGCACCGGTAGCCCCGGCGCAACCCCTCCGCCATTCCTCAGCACGTTCGGACAACGGCGAAATCAGACGATCCATTAACGTACTGTAAAACAAAATTAAGAGAAAATTATAATTTTACGATAGGCAGGTTTTGGTGACCATGTGTACGTTGGTCGTGTAGTGGCGGTGTAAGAATGTCGATTACCCCATATCGTCCCGTGGGTGATGGACAGCACAGCAGCGTCTTCCTGATAACAACTTAAAATAATAAAAACTAGTAACTGTGGCAAATACCCCCCCTATGAGGTTGCCTATGGGGGAGGCCTATGTAGAGCAGTAGACTTTTATTGGCTGTTATGAGTGTATAATGGAGATACTACATACCCCATTTCACCTCATTGATATCAAAAGAGGACTATGAGAAATGTCAGATAGTCTGTAATATCGAAAAAACGAAATCAATTTTATACGTGGTAGAGCCATGCTGCAGCTATATTAGTAGTATAGTTGTAGCACGAATGGGTCGGCTCGACCGGGGAAGGACCACGCTCTCACAGAATACCAGCGTAAAATAGCAGCTTAACACTGCTGTGTTTCGTATGGTGAGTGTAGATAACCGGAGACCCTTTTTACTGGAAAAACGGCTTTTCATCTTAGTCCTCACGGCTGACAACGCATCTGCATTTTGATTCTTTATTGAGGATAGATATAGATGTCTATGGGTCACAGCAACCACTTACCATCAGGTGGACTGTGTGCTCGTTTGTCACCCTATCCTATAAAGAAACTGCCTTTTATTGAGCTGAAGGGGCGTATATTTGCACGCCATTAAAACATAAATAGGCATTTTTTAAATTTTCGCCTGTCTGTCTAACCGGACTAATTTTCGAAATAATGACGGATAGTGATAAAACTTTATGAACAGATAGAGAGCGATGTCGAAAGGGATCTAGGTTACACGGAGAATAATTTTTTATAAACGAATATGATAAAATAAAATAAAATAAATGGCCTTTGCTTATCCTCAATATACATAACATTAATGAACCTACCCAGGCAAAGCCAGGGCGGGTTGCTAGTATAAAATGAGATTACAGATAGTATACGAGTAATCGTAACTATCTAGTTTACGCCAGATGTTTAATCAAAGGCGGAAGTCATCTGGTACCGCGATCGTCAATCCGCCTCCCAAGCGTGGCGATTAAAGCGTCCCCTAACGCAACAGTCAGAATCTGGTCTATTGTGGGCTAAAAAAAGTTACATTTCCTTGTCCTAAAACCCTTTCAGAAATGAGAGGACGCCTGTGACCAGCAGTGTGAAGGCTGTAACTTTACTTCAATCAATCAGCAACACAGATATGGATAGTTTAATTTTGTAGCTAAGGGGCTGAGCGCTCGCTGTAAATTTCACATTCACAGTACACGGGCAACCCGGGTTCGATACCCACCGACTCCAACGAAATTATTAATTACAATTTTAAGTCCTGAAGCTAAGTGAAAAACATATTTCGAAGACATGTGAACAACACGCATTGAAGTAGCGCGGCGGACATTGCCTTGCCTTAAAACCCTCTCAGAAATGAGAGGAGGCTGTGCCTAGCAGTGAGACGTATATAGGGTATAACTAATTTTGTTTTCGAATTCAAATAGTTTTTACCCGACTGTCTCAGAAGAGTGGTAACGTTTTTCGAGAGTATGTACATCATCATCATCATCATCATCATTACAGCCCTTCACAAGTCCACTGCTGAACATAGGCCTCCCCCAAAGAATGCCACAAAGCACGGTCCTGAGCCACCTGCATCCATCGACTTCCTGCATGTCTTACCAGGTCGTCACTCCATCTCGTGGGGGGACGCCCTACACTTCGCCTACCGGTACGAGGCTGCCACTCGAGAACCTTTCTTCCCCATCGGTTGTCGGTTCTTCGAGCTATATGGCCGGCCCACTGCCACTTCAGCTTACTAATCCGTTGGGCTATGTCGGTCACTCTGGTTCTACTGCGGATATCCTCATTCCTAAGTTTATCACGCAGAGAAACTCCGAGCATAGCCCTCTCCATAGCTCGCTGAGCGACCTTGAGCTTCCTCATACGGCCAGCAGTGAAGGACCACGTCTCAGTTCCGTAAGTCATCACTGGCAACACGCACTGGTTGTACAATTTCGTTTTAAGGTTTTGAGGTATGTCTGACGAGAAGATGTGTCGTAGCTTCCCGAACGCTGCCCAGCCGAGTTGAATCCGTCGATTGACCTCTCGGTCGAAGTTGGACTTACCTAGTCGGACTATTTGTCCCAGGTAAACATACTCGTCAACAACTTCGAGCTTAGTGCTCCCAACAACTACCGGCATAGGTGTGACATGGACATTAAACATGATCTTTGTTTTGTCCATGTTTATCTTAAGACCTATCCGTTGGGAAACACTATTGAGGTCATTGAGCATAGTGCTTAGGTCCTCCAGCGATTCTGCCATAAGGACTATATCGTCGGCAAATCGAAGGTGAGTGATGTACTCGCCATTGATGTTGATACCGTATCCTTTCCAGTCCAGAAGCTTGAAAACGTCTTCCAATGCAGCGGTGAAGAGTTTCGGGGATATGACGTCACCCTGTCTTACACCTCTCTGCAATTGGATAGGTTTCGTATTCTGGTTCTGTACTCGGATAGCCATCGTAGCCCTACTGTACAAGCACTTCAACACTTCGATATACCGACAGTCAACTTGGCACCGCTGAAGGGACTGCAGCACCGCCCAAATTTCGACGGAATCAAAGGCTTTCTCATAGTCCACATACGCCAGACATAGTGTCAAATTGTACTCTTTGGACTTCTGTACAACTTGCCGAAGGGTATGTATGTGGTCTATGGTGCTAAAGCCCTTTCGGAAACCGGCTTGTTCGGGAGGCTGGAAGTCGTCAAGTCTGCGCGCGAGACGATTCGTAATGACTCTCGAAAACAGCACGTAGACGCGGCTCAGAAGGGAAATCGGTCTGTAGTTCTTCAAGAGAGCGTTGTCACCTTTCTTGAAGAACAAGACCACCGCACTTCTGCTCCACGCCTCCGGTGTAATGCCACCATGGAGGACAGAATTAAAGAGCTTCTGAAGGACTTCAAGTACCGGTCTTCCACCCGCTTTCAGAAGCTCCGCTGTAATTCCATCCTCGCCTGGGGCCTTACCGTTTTTAAGGTGCTGGAGAGCCATCCTAATCTCGCTCAGACTGACATCCGGGATATCTTCGGAATAGTGTCGGATGAGACTCGCTCTTGGATCGTTACTTACACTTGCGTGTGGCTCCAACGATGATGTGTACAGCTGCCCATAGAACCTCTCAATCTCACTCAAAATCTCAGGTGTCCCGGAAACGATGCTGCCACATTCTGTCTTCAGCTTTGACAGTTGGCTCTTTCTGGCAGACAGATCTCTGGCAAAGACTTTGGAGCCTTGGTTCCGCTCGATCGCTTCTTCAATACGAGCTGTATTGAAGTTGCGTAAGTCCCGCCGCATGCATTTGGAGATCTGTCTGTTCAGATGCCTGTATGCTGTCAAGTCTGTTGAAGAATGTAGCTTCATCTCCCGTCTAACAGCCATGGGATTAAGAGTGTGATCGGAGAGTTTTTGTGTTCTTCTGCGGCGGGTCTTGCAGAACTTAGCTCCAACCGCATGGACAGTTTCCACGAGCTTGTCATTCATATCGTCCACTTCATTGCAGTCTTCCAGGCACTGAAAACGGTTTTGTAACTCGAGCTGAAAGGTTTCGGGACTCTGGAACAGAGCACGAGGGGGACGGAGCGTTGACTTCATTAGACGAGACCTCTCCAACTTAACGTTTAGGTTCAGTGTGCCTCTAACCATTCGGTGATCGCTGCCGGTTTTCACCCTCGCGATCACTGAGACATCACTGAACAGTTGTCGTCTGGTCGTCATAATGAAGTCAATCTCATTTTTTGTCGAACCGTCGGGGCTCGACCAGGTCCACTTCCTGTGGGGCCGCTTCTGGAAGAAAGAATTCATCATAAAGAGTCCCTCTTTCTCTATGAAGTCGGCCAGCTGCTGGCCCCTTGGGTTCCGTTGCCCTATTCCAAATTTCCCTACTTTCAGCTCACCGTTCTCTCTTGTGCCTAGTTTTGCATTGAAGTCTCCCATTAACACCGTATATTGGGTTTTGGAGGAATGCATGGCTCTAGAGATATCCTCATACATTTCCTCCACCTCCTCATCGGGGTGTGCCGAGGTTGGTGCGTAAACCTGTATGACCTTCAGCGAATACCGTTTGGTGATTCTGAGTATAAGGTACGCAACCCTCGTCGACACACTCTCAATCTTTACAACGTTGTTAACGAGAGACTTGTGGACGATAAATCCGACACCTCCTTGGGACAGATGGTCGCCCTCCCGGTGATAGAGCAAGTTGCCGGATTCGAGGATTACCGTGTCCTCCCCCTCTCTTCGGACTTCGGATAATCCTATAATATGCCAGCGCAACTTTTCTATCTCTTCTTCCAGCTCCACGATCTTCTCGTCAGTCCTCAGGGTGCGTGCGTTGTAAGTTGTCAGGTCCAGTCGTCTAAGGTGGCAACCGAACCTCCACCGGAGATTCTTAGCACCCCCTGCCCCGCCGTTACCATGGTCGCCACCGTAGCCAGGAATAGCGGGGCCGCCGGGGACTGGGGGCCGTTTCTTTGTTACTGTCATTCATAGGGGGTATTTGCCATAGTTGCCACGCTTGGCGAGCGGGTTGGCAACCGCAGTTTTTTTATTGTAATTTGGCTATTATCAGGAAGATGCTGCTGCCCATCTCCTGCCTGTTTCCCTTTGTCGCCTTTTACGACACCCACGGGAGGATATGGGGTAGTGGATATTCTTGACCGCCACTACACGGCTTATGTATGTACATATACATGCATAATATATTTGGCACGCTCTGTAGCCTCAACGGCCAGATGGATTTTATCAATTGAGATGTCATTAGCTTCGTTTTAAATGTGGGAGTGACATAGGCCATATAATATTTATATATTACATCTGCAAATACGAAAGAAGGTAGGGGAAAGGTTTTTTAACGCAGTCGGGTTTTATAAATTACTGTTTTAACCATTAAGCTTG